ACGCCCGACTCAACATTAGACCTGACCGCTGGTAGCCTGGAGGAACTGCCCATGCGGCCGCAGGCGACCACCCCGGGTCGGGGAATCGAGAGTCAACGTCAATGATCAAGCACGCTCGTGAGAGCCGCTCTGAATCTCGAGCAGCTCTTTGGGGGGAGCGCCCTCCCGACGCCGGTCGGCGTCACCACGTCGGTGCGCCAGGGGGCGCGGAGCTGTCTGCGTGCGGTGAAGGTCCGCGACGGGGGGTCAGTTTGGGGCCGTCGTCGAGGGCGGCACCCCGCCGGCGCGCGTCAGGAAGCGCAGAGTCCGGGTGCGCCTCGCGCTGCGAGCCGAGATGAACGGCGTGACTGACCGCCGTTGAAAAAGCGCGCATGCAGAGAGAGGGTTGGCGGATGAGGCAGCCCTAGACGCACGCAGCTCAGCCGCTCCTCACCAGTGAGAGGCGCCCCGAGATCAGCGGGCACCGAATCCCCCGGGGCCGGCCCCCGAATTCAATTTGTCACATTCCGAGTGGCTTTCTCGACGGCTCCCGACATACCAGGACCGGAGGAGGACGGGCCCAGCGAGGCCGAAGCCGGGGAGAAACCTCAAGACACCAAGGCTCGACCCAAACGGTGTTTTGGCGATTTCGTAGGCCGTTTTGGTTTCGACATCGTTTTGTGGCAAAGGCGGATTGAAGACACTACGAGGCAAAACGAACACAAAACGACAACGAAACATACTGTTTAGGTGAATCCCTGCAAGACACCTTCCCAACCATCCGACGAGGTAATGTTTAGTGCGCGACCCCAGGGCTCCCGACCCCTTCCCCGAAGGGCAATGGCCTCGCCTGCGTTGACGGGCCCCAAAGGCCTGGACAGGGGACGACGTCAGGACGGAACAAATCAATCCCTCAGTGGTCTGGGATCCCAATCCTTGAGATCCTCTCACGTCTGTCCCTGGCCTCTCCAGAGCTCAGTCTTGGCTAGTTTTCCAACCTGCATCGATTTCTGAGAGATCCAGGGTCCGCAACGGGCCTCCGGGCGCTGAAAACAGTGGTAGATGTCCTCGATCACTGAACTTTGACCCTTTGGAGATCTGGGTTTTGAAGGGCAGCGATAGGAGGACAGGCCAAGGGCTCCTAAGTTCGCGCTTCGCGCTGCGCGAAGCGCGAAGCGCGAATAACTTCGCGCTCTCGCGCCGCCCCCCCAAAGGGAGAAAAGGAGGACGAGGAGGAGGAGGAGAAGGAACGAGGACCGCGAAGCGCGAATAACTTCGCGCCCTCGAGGGAGCCCTTGGGGATTGGCGACGCACCGCCGATGCATCAGCGATGGGCCCAGGATGTCGAAACCGCACGTTCCTTGGCGGAGTGGGCTGTCGATCCAACATGGGCGATCACTGGGCGACTCTTGGGCGTGGCTTAACGGGGGGGTCACAAATGGGGGGGTCAGAAAAGGTCCCCTTTCGTGCCCCTTTCGGGCCCCTCTGGAGCCCCAGGGGGCTCGTTTAGGTACCGTTTGGGTACCTTTTCGGACCACCCTCGCCACCCCCCCATTTATGACCCCCCCATTACGCAACGCCCAAGACTCGAAGCCGATGCGTCGCTCCGGTTTTGGACGCCCGAAATGGGCACGGAAAGAATGGGTACAATGCCCAACAGCAAATGATGTCCCGAACCAACAGCGGCCGCTATCAGGCAGGCGGCTCTCTGTCTCGAAAGGACACGGGCCGCGACGGCGCGGACAGCGAGTCCTGTTCAAGATGAACAGGAACTGTTGTTGGGCATCGTACCCAGTCTTTCCGTACCCATTTCGGGCGTCCAGAGTGGAGGCAAACCGCCGATGTTGGTGCTGTTGTCAACCTCCAGGCCGGCGAAATCGATTCTGCCCCCCCCAAGATGCCATCGACGCGGCGCAGCTGACGGAACCCGCCCCAAGTTCCGGAGACGTTCGAGAGCTGCCGAAAACCGTCGAGCCCCTGACCCGGAGCCCGTCCTCCCCTGGCGTTGCCCCTGCGACTCCTATCGGAGCACGCTTTCTAGCCAGCGGCGCTCTCAGCTGTGACACTTGGATCACTTCCGGTTGTTTGGCAGCGAGTGGGGGACGATGCTCAGATAAACCATCGGCTGCTGTCAATGCTGCTTGCTCTCGCTCGCTCGTGCTTGCGTTCAACCCCTCTCCCGCAACCACTTTGGCTGCAGCCGGGTGAGATGGCGGACGCTCTTACTCAGACCTAGCCTGTGGATGCATCACAGATCTGTAGATTGGGGCGATAGGAGCAACGCTTATAGGGGGGATGGGTGGGATATGCCAAAGTTCGTTCGCGCAAACTCTTGCGCGAACTATTGCCAGAAGGCACGAACTGGTGCGTTTGACAAAATGCATGGTTTGCACACAAGCGCATCTGAGGCGTCGAGATCGCAATGTATTGCACCCATGCAAAAACTACTGCAAACACGACAACACCTGCTCTGGATCCCCCATCCGTGCTATCTCCACTTTTCCGGCTTCAAGACGACGACAAGGATTGACAACGATGTCTACACTGCCCCAGCATTTCCCGGACCCAGGCCGTCGTCGAAGATCGGGGCCGAAGGACCCTTGCCGGAGCAGCTGGGAGCAGGAGCCGCGAGCAGCCTGGCCTCTGGCCTGCGGGCCCAGGCAGCCGACGACGTCCGATGCAGCGATGCAGTCGAGGCGTCGCGGTAAGGATGCAAGGGCCTTAAAAAGCCATGTTGTCACGTAGCCTCGTCTCTATCAGGGGGCGTCGTGACCGAAGCTGTGCCCGAAAATCTGCCCGAGTGTGACCGAAAACGGCGCCCGAATTTTTCCGTCCGACCGCGTCCTAGAGTGACCGAAATGTTTGGTTCGAAACCAAGACGACCTTCAAGCTCGGTCACAAACGACGTTTTTCGGCCACCTACCTTTTCGGCTGATATCAGCTGGGTGCCATGGATGTTGGCGCGGTTCGAACGGGGCTGGCCAGCGAAAGTAGCCAAGGCAGGAGGGGAAGGATGCAGGGGCAACCCTGGGACGTTGCTCGTCCTCACTGTGCGACCTGACCGTGCTCGGAGGAGAAAACAGGTACCACCACCGCTGCGGCGGGCTCGTGCCCTGTCGACCCCGACATGGGTCTGTGACGCCGCGGGGATCTCTCAACCTGGAACGATCGGCCCTTGAAGTAGGAAGGCGCCTGGAAGTATCTGGGAATATCAGAATACTTCCTTTCAGCGACCAATGTTCAGCAGGGACCGACCGTCCCGGTGCTTCTATAGGCCTACCACGACAGTTCTTGGAACCCAGAATTGATCTTGGAACTAAGACAGTGTTCTTAGAACACAAGGCCGATGCGTTAACACAATACAGTATCGGCCAGACATGTTCTAAGAACTCTTCGTGCAGACCACAAAAATGTTCTCAGAACACTCTTTGGTGGGCCTATAGGCGAACCAGGACGCTTCGCCACTGCTGAATACCTTCAGCGACCAACGGGTACTCTTCGAGCTGTAGATCTGCGGGGTTATGTTGTTCCCCTCGTACTTAAGAACCACATCCCAAAACTAATTTCGAGCACCCGGACAACATTCGAAAGAGTGTCGCAAGAGTGCCGAACCAGCGTCGGGCGAGGGCCTCCCAGGGCCCGGCACGTGTAAACCCTCGAGTTTCGGCACTTTTTTTTATGGGGCAAACAAACCTACCTCGCTTTTGACCACCCTCGCTTCCAAGAGATACCAAGCGATGCCAAACTACGGCCTGTACTGGTCAGGCCGCTTGGCGAGGAGGCGCGTGGTATGACTTGGTTTTGCCTGGAAGCGAAAGCGGGGTAGGTCATAATTCACGCTCTGATTTTTGGGGGCGCTCGAGATTCTTTCGGAGGATCAAGGTTAGAGTAGGTTGGAACATCATAAACCTTGGTGAAGCTCTGGGCACGCGGGCCGCGCGGGCCGCGCGGCGAACTCGGGACGGGCTCTGCCCGGGCGCGTGCCGACGCGGACCCCTGGACCCGCGGAGCCGGCGCGCGGGCGCCGGACCCGCGCCTCGGGGAGGGCCGCCCTGGGAACGTCGGATCCTTCAGCATCGACCGATTGAAGGAGGAGGAGGAGGAGGAGGAGGAGGAGGAGGAGGAGGAAGGAGGTGGGTGGGAGGGAGGGAGGAGAAAGGAGGTGGGAGGGAGGGAGGAGGAAGGAGGTGGGAGGGAAGGAGGGAGGGAGCGAGGGAGGGAGGGAGGGAGGGACCGTCGAACGCCAGCGAGGTCGCGGCTCATCGACACGACGGCGGAACCTGCCCTCTTCCTTCCCTCGTCGCCACGAGGTCCAGGGTCAGAACGCGCCCCGGGAGGGGTCTGGGGAGCGTCGATGCCAGCATCGTGGTGGTCCCCCCGATCACGCACTGGGGCCACATCGGGCGCCCGAGTGATCCGGGGTAACTCGGGTCCGGGGTAACTCGGGGTTTGGATTCCCGAAAGACGAACCCGAGTTAGCCCTGACCCGAGTTACCCCTGATGATTCTGGGGCTCTGGACGCCCGAATTATCCGGGGTAACTCGGGTCCGGGGTAAACCGGGCTCGGAATCCCGAACAGCAACCCCGAGTTAACCCTGACCCGAGTTACCCCTGATGATTCGGGGCTCTGAACATGCTCGATCCTCGGCGCCTGGATACTCAGACGCCGACGTCGACCGCGAGCTGGGCCCTCGATCCCCGACGCTCGGGCACCAGGCGGCGCGGTCCAATCTCGACCCGCGGCTCCTCCCCTGGGGGCCGCCTCTCCGCCCCCGCCCCTGCTCTTGCGGGCCTGGGGTCAACGGCGGCCCCAACCCTGGGGGAGAGGCGCCGCAGCGGAGCAGGCCGAGGGCTGGGCCGGCGGCGGAGGAGGAGGAGGAGGAGGAGGAGGAGGAGGAGGAGGAGGAGGAGGAGGAGGAGGAGGAGGAGGAGGGAGGAGGAGGGAGGAGGGGGAGGAGGAGGAGGAGGAGGGGAGGGGAGGAGGAAGGGGGGGGGGCGGGGGGGGGGGGGGGCGGGCGGGCCTTCTCGGCGGGGCCCACGTCGCCGCCGCGGTGGTATCTGCGGTGACCTGGTAATGAGGAGGAGGGGCAGGCTGGGCGGCGTCGGTACGACTCTTTCGCCATCAGCGCAGCAGCGTATGAGGAGGGCCAGCGTAAGCCAGAGACGCCTCAGCGATGTTGCGCAGCTTCGGAGGCACAACTTCGGGACAGCGCGCCCAGGAGGGGGAGGGAAAGCAAGGGGCTGGAAAGCGGAGAGGCACATCGATGCTCCCGCGGTGACACGTTGCGCGTGCTCCGAACGTGGCGCACCTGGCGCGGCTGGGGCATGCGGCACACACCGCGCACGTGGATCACTGGATCACGTTGCGCATCTGGCGCGCCAGGCGTGCCCAACCTGCTTCGGCCACATGGGGTGCCTGGCGCGCCTGGCGGGCCTACCACGGCAACTTCGGTGCTGCCTTCGCTGGGGGTGAAGCTCCATTGCGCGGCTCTGCCATTGCCCGGGTCGGCAGCGCGTGGGGTAGGAGCCCAATCTCCTGGCCTGACTGTGATGCGTCTGAGCGCGCGGCCACAGGTTGCTTCGGAAAAGGGCGTGGACGTGCCCTGGAAGCTGGCAGCGCGCTCTGACATGCTGGCGGAACGCTGTCGTCGTTCGTGTCGGTTGCGTTCGTAATGCGCCTCCGCCAGTATAGCCTCTTCTTCTGGGGTGAGCTTCTCATCGCCAGGCTCGTTACGCGGTGCAGTTATTGGGTTGCTTATGCCTGCTGGTACGATAGTGGGACCACGAGCTTCATTTGGCTTGAATTTCCCAGCTGGAGCCGATTCCTCGTCAGATTCCGAAAGGTCCACCACCTGTTCTGGGCGAGGTTTATTTCCTGGTGGTGCCTCTTTCGGGGTGTCTTGGGCGTGGCCGCCCTTGTCGTGGGTGGGTCCACCCTTGTCTTTGGTGTGTCCACCCTCGTCTGCCGGCTCAGTAGGTGTAAGTGGCGATTCTGCCTCGCCTCCTTCTGCCTCCTCCGCGCCTTGCGTTGATGGCGGAAAGGGGGGTTCGCGGGAGGAGCGGCGCTGTAGCTGCCGACAATATGGTTCGTCGTATTCGGCTCCCGATGTCGCGGCATGCTTGCGTCACTGTCCTCGCCTGTCAGGGCGTCGCCGCGCTTGTCGCGCCAATCCTGCTGGTAAACCTTGAGACGTTTCTTCGCCCTGGCCCCTGACCCCAGATGACCCCATAAAGCCGCGAACGTGCGAGTGATGGAGCCTGCTGAGGCTCAGGAAATGTGCCTTGCTGCCTTTCAAGATCGTTCAAGTCCTCTCGAACCTGGTTTGGCAAGGTGTTGTGAGGGCAGATCAAAGGAGGAGTAGCAGGCGAAGGATCCCGTCCTCCTGTTGCTCTGAGCCTAGACGTGCGGATCCATCCCCCCTTCTTTTGCCTTTGGGGCACTGCGCCTGGAAATGTCTTCGCTACCGCAAGAGTTGCATGTCATACGTCTGCCATTCGTGCCCATAGAGTTAGCTTGCGTCAATTGCCCTTCCCTGCGGTGCTTCTACGATCTATACCTCTGCCTTTGCCAACGAAAAAAGGATCCCTAAAACCCGTGATCGGTTAAAGTCGCGAGCGAGGAACGTGGCCATCCCTTTGTCATGCAACCCGCGGGTGCGTCTCCGACCTTTGCCGCGGCCTTTACGCATGCCAAAAAGATACGACGCACTGCTCGCCTAAACCTCCTGACTGCCTTCTTCATATTCCGTATCCACTTTCTTTTAGCATGGTGTAGATATTGCTCTGCTTGGTCGTCCCCAACAGGTCTGACCAGTCAACTCCTTCAGTGCCGGTGGGTGAGCAGGTGTCGGCGTCTGTTCCAGAGTCTAAGGGGTCGTCATCGCGCTGGCCTGGTCAACCCCAAAGGTCCGTATGTGGGTGGTGTGTAGCTGACCGCTGCTGGCCAACTGGCGTTTGAGCCAGACGCCTGTGCGCTGCCAGTCTCTTGGCCTAGGAGCCCAGGAGTGTTGCGGATTCGGATGGCTCCTGATCGCCCCAGATACTGGCAAACGTGGCCGCCGGCGTTTTTTCCCTGATTCGGACTGGTAGGGACTGGCGTTGCCACCACCGAAGATGTTCTCGATGTGTCCAAGAGCGTGCTCAGCGAAGTGTCCATGACTGCGCATGCGTTCCAGAAAATGGTCGTATTGTTGTTGGGTGCGGGGCATATGGTGGTTCAGTGTAATAAATATGATGCTCGGGAAGTGTCTGCTCCAAGAACACGAAACAATAGGAACGTCAGGATCTGGAAATTGGGTATGTTGAGACCGGCCGAATCCGCTTCCAGCCTGGCCATTCCAAATCGGGCCAGTATTGAGTCGGTGCGTTCGCCCATTTCGACCCTGAAGTCGAGAAGGGCAGTTCCCGAGGAGACCTGTCGTTCACACCCGAAGTTTTCAACTTTGGTAATGAGGCGGTACATGATATATGTAGCTCCATCGGTGCGTTTACCTTCTAAGCTTGCACAGCACTTGATGGTGGTAGGCGGCTTCCACATGGCCAGGGTCTTGGCTACACCCCCGAGACCGCGCTGTAGCACGGCGGCCTGTTGTGGTGGCGCCATTTTTTTTTCACTTGTGACGTGTAGCCATGCGTGTACTTCGGGAACGAACTCGCGGAATCGTACTTTGCGTGCGGGGTCCCAGTGAAGGCCACGAGTGCGTATGTCATCCATTCCTCCTCGCACGTATCCCCTGCCAAACCAAAACGCACCCATATACTTCCAAAAATAACACATTGACTGAGTGCGTATTCGTATCGTAATTGATGATATCAAGGCCTGTGTTTTCGGTGATTGACTTATCCGTCAGGTTATCCACACGAATGAGAATATTGTCTGACGTGGCCGTCAGTTCGAGGATGTGTGTAGGGATTAAGCTTGCGCGTGGCGTGTTGCCACGCGGTGGGAGATGGAGGAATCAGATAATATGTCACCGATTGGTTGGCGAGTACTGGGGACAGAATGGCTGATAGCCGTCGCAATTGGAAATCCCACTGTGCCGTGGTAGATCGCTATGTGCAGAAAACACAGGATGTGTTTGTCAGACACGTAAAGGTGAGGCCAGTTCCACAACCGCGTGAAAAGAGAGGGCTAGGAGGGTATCGGCCGAGACCCTGCTTACGATGACGTCGCAGACGTATCGCACCACCCCACAGATCATCCGCTACTGAAGAGCAGGACGGTCGGCGAGAGACAAAATATGACATGAGAGGATGCACCATCCAAAGACGTGACCGTCTCCTTTTATCCGTTGTTCCGGTGCGATAGTATCTCGCTGACGTGAGATACTCACATAGGGCAGCACTGTCTTGAGCCAGACAGCGGCGGACGTGGGCATGACGCTCGCTATGCTCACCTTTGCCACTTCGATATTCCTTCAAGGTGACGCAAAAAGAAAAAAAAAAGAAAAAGGAAAGGAGAAAAAAAGGAGAAAAAGAGAAAAAGAAGAAAAACAAAAAAAAAAAGTCCTTATTCCTTCAAGGTGACGCCCCCAAGGGGCTCCCGAACGACCCACAAGACGCCCCCTCAGTGGCACCCAAGACTCCGCAAGACCCGGGAGAGGGGTGAGACTCCCTCCTTCGATCGATCTCCTCGTAGACGGCCCCCGAAGCTCCCAAGTGTGCCCCAACACGGCCCCATTAGGTTCCCAGGAGGCCCCAACAGGTCCCCAGGAGCCGCCCAAGAGGCCCCCAGGAGGCTCCCAGGAGACGCCCAAAACGCTCTTAGAGGCACCCAGGACGCCTCAAGAAGCCTCGGCGAGAAGCCCCCAATCTCTGATTTTCGTACAAGGTTTTCGACGCATTTTGGCATCCTGGGGGGGGGGGGGGACCCTAAGTAAGGAGCCCTCCTCCTTTGATCGATCTCTTCCAAGATGACCCCCATGGATCCAAAAGGGTGTCCAAGCTGGCCCCAAGAGGTGCCCAGGAGGCCCCAAGAGGCTCCCACGATGCCCCAACGAGAGTCCAAAATGCCCCCCAGAGGCACCCAAAACGCCTTAAGAGACTCAAGGGACTGCCAAGAGACCCCCGGGAGGCCCCAAGAGAACTCTATGAGACTCCCGATCAAAACCTAAGAGACTTCGAGAGGCATCCAAGAAGCCGCTGGTCTTTCTGCTCGCCCGCGTCCTCCTCCTCCTCCTCCTCCTCCTCCTCATCATCATCATCATCATCATCAGCATCACCATCACCAGCACCAGCACCATCATCATCATCATCATCAGCAGCAGCATCATCATCATCATCATCTTCATCAACATCATCATCATCATCATAATAATCATCACCACCAACATCATCATCATCATCATTTTACCCTTCATCATCATCATCACCAGCAGCATCACCACCATCATCATCACCATCACCATCACCATCATCAGCATCATCATCATCATCATCGGCATCGGCATCGTAATCGTAATCGATATTAACATCAACAGCAGCATCAACATCGTCACCATCAACATCACCATCACCATCATCAGCATCATCATTATCAGTCTCATCATTATCAGTCTCATCATCATCATCCTCATCATCGGCATCGGCATCGGCATCGTAATCGTCATCGACATCAACATCAACAGCGGCATCAACATCGTCACCATCAACATCACCATCACCATCATCATCATCATCATCATCATCATCACCATCATTATCACTATCATCATCAACATCATCATCATCATCATCGTCATCATCATAATCATCATCATCATCATCATCCGCGTGTTGCTCCTCCTTCCTCCTCCCTCCTCTCCCTCCCCCTGTCCCTCATCCTCTCCCTCTTCCGATTCATCTTCCATCCTCCCACTCTTGGGTCGTCCTACCCAACCCTTTCTTCCACTGCATTCCCCTCCACATCCCTGGTCAGAGCCGCTCGTCTGGGCATCGTTTCTGGATGGGCTGGTGGGACTACGCGAAGCAGCTATAATATGAAAGGCATGTTGAGCAGTCTACACGGAGTCGATGAGCCGATGCAACTACATGCCGCGGACATGTATACTCACGCTATTTAGTTGTCTG